AGTATATCTTCAATATGTATCCATTTTCCTATGAATGAATCTATTCTCTCGCTCTTTATGGCTGAGTAATATTCCATTTTATAGAAAAACCACAACTTCTTTATCCAGTTTCCAACGGATGGGCAAATAGGTTGTTTCCAAGATTTAGCTATTACAAACTGTGCCGCTATAAACATGGGTGCACATACTTCTCTGTGATATGATTCGAGAAAGAAAAAATTCTTATGAGCTCAGTATAGCTCGAAATTTATAGATTGTAGAAGATGCTATTTTATTTCTATTAACTTCAAGAGCAAATTTATATTGTGAAAATGATTCATGTGAATGATAATTGCATGAGAATCTTTATTAATTATGAATGCCTAAATGATAGAATCATCTATGAAAAAAATTTCAGCATAGACAGCAGTTAGAGATACATATTTGACAAATACTGTTAATTAAAGCAAATATATTTGTCCAGATCCCTTTGAGTTCTTAGACATTTCTGACAAATTCAGGTAAGATATTTGAAAACATAATAACATCTTGACTAAGTTATATTCTAGTTCTACATTTATACGTGACTTTTTTAGTATTTATCTGTTTTTATTTCTTTTTTTTTTCTTTTTTTCTTTTTTTTTTTTTTTGGTACTGGGGATTGAACTTGGGTCCTTGCGCTTGCAAAGCAGGTGACTGAACCACTGAGCTCAATCCCCAGCCCAGTCTTTATTTCTTACTGTATAAAGCCAGTTTGATTATTCACAGGATTCCTACATGTTAGTGAGCTTTAAAATTAATATTCATCAGAGGAAAGAAGCACACATGGCTATGATTCTCTCACACACATTTTATTTGAATTCTATAACTTTGATTCAGCATGGATGGCGATAAAGGGGTCTTCAGCAGAGTTATTAATGGAAAATCGAGCCTTGCCATCACCATAAACCTCAATTTCAATTCCTGAGCAGTTGCCATCAACTTTATCTCCAGAAATGACATCACAATACGTGCCAGCAGGTAGCCCAGTTTGCAAAATTTCAGACAATGACCTAAAAGGTACAATGTATTTTTTCAGTTAAACTCTAGCAAATATAAGACACAAACAACTTTGTGCCATACAACTTTAGTAGTGAAGGTCTCAAAAGAAGAAAACTCAGCTCTCCAGTGCATCGGAAGAACTTTCTCAGAAAGAAATGTGATCTTAGACAAGACCTAGCAAATCCTTGGTCTGTATGGAGCTGAATATGAGGTGAGATTGAAGCACATTAAGGAAGGGAGTTTGAAGAACACAAAGGAAAGTACATAGAAATTGAGTCCCTTTGATAAAAGTAGTAACTATGGAAACCACAACTGTATTTAATTTGCCCTATCCTGCACCAAAGCACTGATTACCTTTATGAATTTAACTAAAATTATTTCTTCAAAAACACTGACTTTCATCAAAAGTCCGAGAGAATTTTTGTGCAAGAATACCAACCATGTGGCACATCTATCAAAATGTACATGCTTTGAAATAAATGGCTGTCTTGTATGAATTTATTTTTGTTCTCCTATGGAGAGGAGAAAAAGTAAGTAACTATACATGGGATATTTGGTCCCAAACGAAAATGAGAGAGAGACAGAGAGGAAGAGGGAGAGAGATGCACTTGGCTTCTTTAATCATTCATTTGCTAATAAATTCTAACTTAGTCTGAAAATGGATAAATGTGTTGAAGTTGGCCTTGGACTAAGATATATAAATTTCTTTAGAAGAGTGCTGTGGATTTATTGGTGTATATGAGGGAAGTATTAAAATAGAAGAATGAATATATTTATCTCAAAGGGAAGAGCAACAATGGAAAACTTTAGAGCCAAAATCCCAAAATCTCTTGAGAAAAAATAATTGACATTGAGATATGAGGAATAAAAATAATTCCAGAGAGACAGAAGGTGAAGAGCGCAGAACAGAAGAGAACACAGAGTAATAGCTGGAATACAGAGCTGGGAAGTAAGGGACCTTCCAGTCCTGAGACTCCCTGTAGACGCACACAACATGAGGATAGGACAGCTAACAAAAAACCTCCCCTTGAGAAAAAAACTATTGTAAAATACTGGAACAAAGTAAGAGTCATCATTTTCTTCTGTACCTTGCTCACTTTAGTGTTTCCTTTATCCGTAGACTACAGATTTTTCAATTGTGGGAAAAAATCAGTGAATTAAAAAAAAAATCCAAGAGCAGGATAGAGTAAAATATTAATTTTAATTGGCATCTACTCACCAGTCATCGTTGTTAATGACAATGAATGCTCTGTTTCCTCTTCCAAAAGCTATTTGATTGCTTCCATTATCCCACCAGTTGGAGAAAGGCTGGCCATCAGCTACATTTCGGAAGGCAACCATGTTCCTAAAAGCACAAACATATTAAATGCGCATATTCTTTGCCTTCACTGTTGACAATAAAATCTTTAGCATTAGAAAATATCCCCACCTTATTTGACGCCAGCGATGTTCACAGACCCAGCCATTGCCGCAAGTGGTGTCCTCATTAATAGTCACCTCTTTAGTTGCTCCATTGTCATTCGGTGGCCCGATCCAGTCATTCACATCCTTCGTTATGATCAAGAGAGCTCAGTTTGGAAGCATCCTCACTTGCCCCTTCTTTCTCCTTTGTCCCAAACCTAATCAGTCCTAATACTTGAGTCTCCATGATATCTTTGTTTAGAATCCAACATTTTCCATGTTTTTATAATTTTTGCTCAGTTTTTATCATTTCTTTGGATTCTTTTTCACTACTGTCATATTTCAAACAAGCATAAAAGATTTATTCTCTCATTTTCTCTACAAGCAATGGGTTCTCAACATCGCTATTCAAGGTCTTAAAGAACAAGAACCTCAGCTGCAGTAAAGCAAGATGAAAACGTAGTCTCAGGACTACTAGCTAACAAGTCACTCAATAATCTATAAGGTATGTCTGTCTCAATTTTCTCTTTTGTAAAAAGAGATATTACATGGTCAGTATAGAAGCAAAATACTGTATAGGAAAAGACTATCAATACAATAATTGCAAAATGAATATTATTTGATTTTATATAAATTGTACATATATGTAGTAAGCACCACATAATAATCTTGGCACTAAATTGATTAAATCATTGATATTGTGTTTTCTGCTAACTGGTACCACTTTCAAATATAGTACTCCAAAAAACAGTGTAAGTCTAGGAGGGGTATCAGTGCAGCATCATATTATATGATGAATAATATACCCTTAAACACATACTTGATTAATAAATACCAAGTGTCTTACTCTTATATGAAAATGTTAAATGCTACTTTCCTTTTATTGAGAAAGAAATGTTTTAAATGTCTCCAAAACTTACTTTTCCATTCTGAAAGTTTCGGTCCCAACGGTAGCTTGACATCACTCGTGCAAATCCATAAGGATGAGCAAGCATAAATCCCACAGCCATTTTATACATCCTGAAAATCACAAAACGATATGGTAGGAATAGAACTTTTGCCCTCCTTAAATGGTAGATGGATAAGGTGGGGAATGTTGTTTCCTACCTAGCGTCCCAGAATGTCAGAATAGAGGCTCCTCCCGCTCCGTGACCTCGCTGATTGTCATGGTTATCCACAAAGACAAGGGCTTTGTCAGAACACACAAAACCCCAACATTCTCCCCAGTTCCTGTGTGTAAAAATAGTGTGCACACTTAAAATATCTATACAAATATATGCATTATTTTACACATGCCTGACAATATTTCTCTACAACTCTTTCTGTATAGCATCGTCATATAAGTCTTCTAATTAAATGGTCATTCTATAAGATTTTGTAAACTATGTGCAAGGAGAGGATTCAGTATACAGTAACTTAAGTGGACTTCAGAAGGATAAGCTTTTGTACACCCTTATAGAGGATATCACAGAAGGCTAAAATGAAGCTTCAGTATGCTACCATAATAAACATATTTTAATATTTGAAATTGATTCATTTCATATGCATAAATGCTAGTTTAAGGTCAAGTGGTAGGTACTTGTTCAAAGTTAGTCATTTTAAACAGTCAATCTGATTTCACACTTTATAGTTCCACATGACAGAAACCTAGAACACTCATACAATACAGAGAATAAAACCTCTAGATGATGTGTGCAGATTCTAGACTATTGCTTTTAATTCAAATCTGAGAAAAAATAGATGTTTAATTGCTTTGGAGAAACCTAACACTTATAATTGATATACAAAATCTTGATTATGTGCAAATAACAAGTTGTAAGAACATTACCTATATTGGGGAAACATGACAAATAGACCAGTGGAGAAAAATGAAATGGCAGGTAATGTTTTACTTACTTTAAGTAAGACAACTTTTCTCCATCCCACTTGCGTATAACTGTGCCTAGTTTTGCACCATACTTGAATTCAGTCACACGGCCATTTCCAAAGTATTCACAAATTTTAATTGCTTCACCTCCCAGATCAATTACCTAGTTGATACACAGAGGGAAAAGTCATTTTACACTTGCATTAAAATATCTTTAAACTAGTTATATTACTTGAAATATTCCAACATTTTTCTTTATATCAAGTTTCTTTGTATTGGTACATACATGCTACAAGAGGGAAAGAAAGCTAATTACAAGGCCACCTCTTATCCTCTAAGAATGCTGACCTCAGTTATCCCTCCACATAGACAATACTAACAACACCTCACAGCAACAGGACATGTACTACCTGATTGACGGTATTTCTCATTACTTGATGATAGATATTAAATGCATTTAATTTCCAAAGGAAACAAAAGTATAAATGTTTTAACACCTTTCTTCACAGGGGAATTCTGGTTCAACAATTTCCCTAAAAATTACACAGCTAATAGTAGTAGAGCAAAGTTTCAAACAGCTAATGATTACATACTCAAGAGCCAAGCTAAAATAGATTTGCTCAAGAAAAAATATATAAAATTTTCAGTCTTCCATATGGTTACTAAGAAAATGGTAAATGGCACAGAAAATTCATCAGTCTAAAAAACTAACTGCACGCCCATAAAAACTACTTCGATAAAAAGTCAGATGTGCTATCTTTCAAATAAAGGAAGTTGAAGAATACTATTCTGTGATCATTACCTTATAGAAATTACATATTTTATTAAAACTGCTATTTATTCTCTGGTGAACAAAGTGCTACTGTATATAGTTCCTGCATGCACAGGTATTGATGTACCTCCTGGAAAATGAAAGGTCGACTTCCTTCAGAGAACCAAGTTGTGTTCAGATTATGCAGTTTATCCAAAATCGCCCTGATGTCTTCAGGCCACATGTGCTTAGCAGCATCAAGTCTGAACCCTGCTACACCAATGTCGATGAGATGGTTCAGGTAGTCAGCAATCTTGGTACGGACATAATCCTTCCCAAGTGCAAGATCAAGAAGACCAGACAGACGACAATTTCTGACCTGTGGCAATAAAAATTTTAAACTGACTCAGAAATATCATTGCCCATCTGAAAATCCATTTTATTGTTCAATCACACTTATTCAGTAGCATATATTTATGTAATACCCTCTTTGCAAGGACACCTGGAATGTTCTTATTCTACTGTGATATTACTTTTACTCTTGTTTTTTCCCTCCTAGTGGGGACAAGCCTAGGGCACCTAAAATACAAGGCAAGTTCTATCCACTTTGGGTGGAAATGAACACTATGACTAGGAGAAAGTGCTTGAATGAAGTTTTTTGTTTTGTTTTGTTTTTAATTTCTAAGCAGTTAAAGCTAGTGAGCAGTTTTCCTAAGGAATCTAAACCAGTATCCAGTATGATATTCAATAATCTACCTGTGCATAATTAAAGGAATATACAGTTCTTGGTTCTGATCATTATTTTTAAAAATTACCTGATTGGCATCATTATAGTCATTAATTTCTCCATTACATATATTGTCATTAAAATCATAACTAGAGTATGGGACTTCTGGAAATTCTCTATTGCCAGGATTGTAGTAGCTTCCACAAGTACTGCTTGTTCCTGCAGGATTGCCAGAGCCACACATGTGGTTAATCACAGCATCCACATAAATTCGGACCTGAAAAACAAGTTGTCTCCTTCAGCTTCACTTCATGTGGAAATGTAAATCCCTACATGTCAAGAAATCCTTGCATGTCAAGAAAACTCCAAAATACTTCTTTGCAATTTCATAACTGGAATTTCCTAAACCAAACTCAAGTGTGAAATTAAGTTATTGTTAAAAGACCCACATCAATTGTAACCAAATGTATACATGAAAGATAAATTGAGAGCATGGAAGATTCCCACAACCCTGAAGAAGTGAAAAGAACATTTCTGAGGAGTTAAGCATTAACTAAGAAAGCAAAAATTGTTTATTTTCAAAATTTCAAAGAGAATTCCCAGAATAAAGCAGCTAATCCCTTCTCTCTACTTAGCAAGCCTGTTAGAGCTAATTTCTAACCAGAAGTGATTGAGAAGAAACCTTGAGATTATACATGGATCCATAAGTCACACGCAAAAGACAGCAGCTATTGTAACTGGAATCTCCATATCCCAGCCAAAGAAATTTTGATAGAAAAAAATGTGGATATAAGCCTTAAAAGTGGGTAAATTTCACATGTCACTCTCCTTAAATATTAAATTGCCTCATTTTTATATGTTAATGATATATATTTAGAGAGGTTGACAAGCATTGAACATAACATTATGCATTTTGCATTAAAAGTAATTTGCATTAATATAAAAGAAAGTTTTACTTTTTAAACATTGAAATATGACCACCTTTTCTGTTTTTTTTTTTTGTTTGTTTTGGTACTGGGGATCGAACTCAGGTTCTTCTACTTATGAGGCAGGCACCAGAACAACTGAGCTAAATCCCTGTCCTCTATGAAATATTTTTAAAGGAATTTAATTTCACTTACACCGACATTGTTGCACCTGGCCACCATGTCTGTGAATTCATCTTCATTCCCAGATCTTGTGCATAATTTATAGCTGACTGGTTGATACCTTTCCCACCAAGGTCGATAAGGATTGTTAATTACAACATTTTCATTGGGTGGAGAGACCTGAAAAAAGAAAAAGTCTCAGTAAGACCCAATTTAGGGTTTATTCTATATCGATACATATTACAAAAATTATTAAGTATTCAAATTTGTTTCTGAATCTTTCTACGTAATAGTTATGCTACTTAATAACCATTCAAATAACATAAGAGCACATTGGACATGTCCAGAAACAGAGCAAAAATTTGCCAGAATTCTAAATATATTTTCTCATGAAATCGTCACATAGTACTTTCATCAAGTAGAATGTTGTTGTAAATCACTGATACAGATTAATATACCATTTACTATAAGCTCACTAAACTCTGCAGTACATGCTGTGAACAACACTTACCTGAACTCCTCCAAATCCCTTGGGACCTAAGTATCTCTCGCATTCCGCAGCAATGTCCGCCCAGCGCCACTCGAACAGGTGCACAATGGATGTGCGTCCCTGCTGCGTGTGCGGGGAATACTGAGCCCAGCACAGCCCGATGGCTGAGAGCAACAGAAGGAACTTCATCTTGCTGTGAAGTTGTCAGGCTTCTTTTTAGCAAAGCTTTATAGTCCTGAGAAGGAGCAAATTATATAAAGTAGATGTTAATGAATAAATAAAATAAATATTTAAAGAACAATTTATTCATTATCTGGAAAAGATTAACAATCATAAGGTTAACAGCTGAAAAACGTGTCCCAAACCTCACAGCAAAATAATTGAAACGTCATCTAGAACTTACTGATTTTTCTTATTTAAGTAATATTAACTTTTTCAAACATCTGACATTTGATATGCTCAAAAAGTCCTCATGTGTGTGCTATTCAAATACTATTAGATGGTATTTGTGATGTCCTTCACTAAGACGGAAAATTACACATGAATACAGCTGAATTCATACTTGAAACATCAATTTACCAATGTGTGCTCAATATTCATAATAGTTTCTTTAGAAAATTGAGAAGATATTGTATTAAGTTCTGTTTTCCTCCATATATCCTAATTCTAGTTAGCTGAATTTCTTCATAAAATTCTGGAAATGATTTAAGATTTAACTGTCCTTTCCATGATAAAGCAATATCCTTCCTCTATGTGTTAAATATGTGGCTAAAGCAATAGGATTTGGGGCAAGGATGGTATTCTCCCCAAAACTAAATGTCTGTAAATAGCATGAAATGCTGAATGAGATATTTTTATATGTTCTCCTATATAAATTCCTGATACCATGTGAAAGACTAATATCGCAGGTGGCAAAAATAAATTTTATCCATCTACTTAGTAAGTTATGAGTGAGCTTTCAGTTTTACCTAACACTAAGGATGACATGAGGGATACTATGATAACTGAAATAACTTCTTCTTCTATGAGAGATTATAGTTCTGTGGAGAAACAGAAAATAGGAAGCACCAAAAATGAATAAAAGTAACAGTATCACTAATGATGCCAGACACAGGATCTTCTAACTGTGGGACAATAGAGAAGAAAAGCAGGCAAGGCGTATTGGACACAAAGAGTACTGAGCATGGAGGCCAAGCTTGCTGCTGCGGTGCCCTCGAGTCTGGAAATTTTCCTCTAGCTGTGAATGAGATATTTCCATAGGAAATTTCTTCCCTGGGAAAGACAAGGATTAATTGTCATTTAGTTCAGACTTAAGAGATATTATTCATCAACATTCTGACTCTTTTGGACCACCTTATGTTTTGGTCACTCTGGTTCCCCTGAGCAGAGCATTTGAAAAGTACAGGCATATCCCACACTATACTTTAAATAGATTAGAGGCTTTGAGTTAAGGATGTAGCATTGTACCTGTCAGTTGTCCTCACCATGGTCCCTTACCCCCCATTCTCTCTCGGAGATTTGATCCTCTGTAGTCCTGAGGCAAACTAGACAAACTTTATCTTCCTATGACTGCTTTCTGCTGAAATTTTCCATGGCCAAATTTGGAGCACAGAGTGGCAGTACAGACTGTGAGGCAGGATGGGTTGAAATTTATGAATGAACATCAGGTTGACTGGTAACTGTGGAAATGTGGAAGACATAAATTTTGTAAACATGTTAAGCAGGCCAGGAGCAAATAAAGCAAAGTAGGAAAATAATATAGGCCTTCAAAGAGTAGAGTTTAGGTAAGATTGAATAGCATTTGGCATGACCTTCCATAAAATGTTTCTGCTTATATTCATGTAGCCATTTGGATTTCATGTGTGTCTTCTTAATGTTAATTTTTCTCATGTGTTTACTCAGGTACATCAGGTGGAGATCAAAACTGCACAAATCTGGCACTCTTCTGCCCCAAATAATTAATGATTTTCTATATTGACCACAAAGTTGGCTACAAAATTGTGTGGCAGTCACCCACCAGCTAACATATCGCCTATTTGTCCAGCTTCCTGGATTTTCAGTGGCCTTCAAGAAATCTGTGTCTAGTTTAATAGGATGAGAAGCACAGTTCCTGTTGCTTTTTTGTGTTTCTTTTTGTGTTTTGTGTTTATCTTTTCTATTCTTCAAGAGCTTTGTTATGGTACTCGGGTTATATTTTTGTGAGTGAAGCCACCCCGAGGAGAAAGAGATGTAAATGTTCCTAACAGGACTCCAAAGTCAGTCCGGAGTTTGCCTATATCGGTGTCTATGGAACTCATTGGTTGTATAATCAATTCTTTTTTTTTCAGGCATTGCGCACTTCAGGATACAATCACTAAGTGTTACTGACTGATGTGCCTAAAACTTAAGAAGGAGAACGTTTGAAGGCCTTTCTGTAATCTGAAAGAAACGCAGCACCCAATAGGTACATCTATATATAACACGGTGAAGCTTGCCCTGCTCCAGAATGGGCAGAGTTAACGCCATACAACATACGAGGAAGTGGAGAGCAGTTAAGGATTCGAACTCTGTTTTGTACACATGAAGACCACTGAAACCTATGGCTTTAGAGAACACAGTCATATCAAGTCTATAGTAATCTAAAGGGTGAATTTATTCAAGGAAAATAACATTTAAAAGCCAAATAGTTACACTGGCATTTTCACCCCATATGAAAACCTACATAACAATACAAATCTTTATCACAGGGATGCTGAACTGCACATCAGAATAGCTTGATGACAATATCACAAGAAATCCTGAAAATCCATTCCCAGACAAGCTAGTAGGAGTGGGAATTTAGACCACTCTTTGCTGAAAAAGCTTTTTCCTTTTTGCTATTTTTTAATACTCTGTGGTAACGTACTTGCCCCTGATTCAATTTCATACAAGATAAGCAATGGAAACTCCTTTCAGTCCTCTGAAAGTGGATCCCACTTTTCCTCAGGCCATCAGTTAAAGAGGCTGTCTGTCAGCCTGAATACATTTTTAGATTCTTTGTCAAATACCTGATGGATGAGGGTGCATAGGTTCGTGTCGTTGTGTTCTGTTCTATTCCTTTGGTGTACATGTGTGTTTTTATTCCAGCAAAGTGTTGTTTTCTTACTATGGCTTTTTGCCAAACTTGAAACCCAGTAATGTGATGCCTCCAGCCTTGTCCTTATTTCCTGGGATTGCTTTGGCTCTTCTGATAATTTTTCCATTCTACATCAATTGCATTTTGGCTTTTTCTAGTTCTGGGACAGATGATGTTGGTGATTCAATAGAAAGTGAATTGAATCCATAGATCACTGTTTTCAATACAGTCATTTTCACAATATTAGATCTCCTGGTATTTACTTGAATAAAGCAAGTCTAAATTTGTTAATGTCTTCTTCAATTTCTTACTTCAGTGTTCTTCAGTTTTCATTACAGTGTACTTTTGGCTCCTTCCTCAGTTTATCTCATTATTCAATTTCTTTAAAGACATTGTAAATAAATTTAATTTCCTAATTTCTCTCTCAATGACTTCATTACTACTCCATGGAAATGGTTTTTCTGTTTATTTTGTTTCATCCCATGTGGCTTGGTTGTTTATCAAATCTAAAAGTTGTCTGGTCGAGAGTACAGGTGTATGGTATATAAAGAATCATCTCATCCTCAAATAATGATAAACTGATTTTCCTATTTCTATCCCAAATCCTTTTGTTTCTTTTTTATTTTTTTCTCTTGACTGACAATGCTGGCTAAAGTCTGCAGTATTATATTGATCAGCAGCGGTGAGAGCGAACAGCCTTCACTGACTTCCCCACTGTTCCCAACTGTGGAGGAAACTCTTTAAGCTTTCCCAGGCACAGTATGATGTGGGCTGGTGTTTGTCATATGTAGCGTTCTCATTTTGAGGACACTGCCCTTTCTACCTATTCTTTTTTTAGGTCTGATCATAAGGGAATGTTGGATTTTATCAAAGATCTTTCTGCATCTGTTAAAATGATCCTGTGATTTTTATCTTTATTTCCACTGATGGGGAGAATAGTGTTTATGGAATCTTGTATACTGAGTTATAATTCCATCTCTGGGATGAAACCAAGTTTATCACAGTGTATAATCTTTTTAATTTGTTGCTGTTTTTCTTTGCAAGGATTTGATCCAAAAATTTTGCACTCTGTTCATCAAGGATATTGATTATAGTTTTCTTCATTTTCTGATTCCTCATCTGGTTTTGATATCAAGGTAATGCTCACTTAGTAGGGTGGAGGTGGAAGCACTCTTTTCAATTACATGGAAAATTTGAGAACCACAGTTGTTGGTTCTTCGATAAAACTCTAGTGAAAATCATCAGAAATCCAGGGAGTACTAGAATTTTTTTTTTTTTTTTTTTTGTGGGAGACTTGTTTTGTTTTGTTTGTTACCAGGTATCAAACTCAAAACCTTGTGCTTGCAGGGCCAGTGGAGGCAACATTGAGTCTAATGCCAGGCCCTCTGGGAGATTTTTAATTACCACCTAAATTTAATCGATTTTAGTGATCTTTTTGTATTTATTCTATATCTTTGATTCAATTTAGGGACATCATATTGTGTAGAAATGTATCCACTTTGTTTAATTTGCCAATTTATTGAAATAGTACCTTATTAAATGTTTTCTGATGATTCCTAACATTAATTATTCCTGTCATGAATACAAAAAAAAATGTTGTCAATGATGCAGGGGTAGAGGTACCCTTTTATATCATTGATGGGAATGTAGAGAGGTGCAGTCCCTATAGAATTCAGAACAGTGGATTCTCAAAAAGTTAAAAATAGAAAAGGTTGACTAATCCAGCTATACCTCTTCCAGATATAATCCTCGAAGAATTAAAGTCATCACACTCTAATGAAACACGCATACCCCTGCTAATAGTAGCAGAAGTTACTTTGAATATAGCTCTTTAAAAAGCCTAGATGCACATTAATGATGGATGGATAAAGAAAAGGAGTGACATATGGGTCATGATATGTTATTCATTGATAAATAGAAAGAAATCATGTCATGTATAGGACATTGGATGGAACTAGAGACCGTCATGCCTGGTGAAGTAAGGAAAACTTAAGCAAAGAAAAATATATTTGGTGTCCTGAGAGTCTTAATTAATAATTAATTCATTAGTGATATAGAGATGACAGGACCCAAGTGGCTAGATATTTGGAGGTGAGAAAAGGGATCACTAGGAAGAGAAACAGAGGGGAAGTGTGTTAATG